ATTTATATTTATATACACTTTTCACACACACACACACACACACACACATATATATATATATATATATATATATATATATATATATATATATATATATATATATATATATATATTATAATATGACAACTGGAAAAAAATCTTAGATTTTGCCGACGCGTGTTTTTTTCCAATTGTCATTTTATACCAATATGTCTTGTCCACAGAATTGATCTAGCAATTTAACTATATATTATAATATAAAAAATTGGAAACTCTAATTGAAAATAACTGAAAAAGTTTGGGAAATGAATAAAAACACAACGACACTTGCTTGTATTTAATCGTGGTTAAGCAAGACCTTTATAAGTTAAAGAGGTAAATTTTGTCAATACAAAACGAATGTTAACCAGTCTTGGTGCAATTTTAAGCTGTAACAACGAAGGGGAATCACTGTAATATTGTTGGCCATGGCTTCAAGAACAATGATCTAGGCTGGTGTTCAACTCTCGATACAAATTCGCTGGTGGCTGCCGATTCTATTACGAGACACGCATATCCTGTCAGAGCGGATGCAAGGAAAGCTTTGTAGAAATAGAATGAGAGCGAAGTTTTATTGAAATAATAAAAAGAAATAATACTATATATAATATAATATATGAGTGTGTGTATGCGTGTGTGTGTGTATTAATGCTAAGGCAGATAAGATAAGAAAAGTTAGTATCTAAACGAATATAGAAATGAAACTGCCAGTATCATAAGGGAACAAAACAGACATGAGTGGGTAAAAGAAAACAACTGGAAACTGTGCAAACGACTGTTATTTGGCTATGCACCTGAATGTACACAAATAAGAATCTGTTTTAGATTTTAAAAAAATTTTTAGATTTAAAAAAAAAATCAAATTCATTGAGAGATGGAAATTCCAACGTATCACCCAATTCAAAGCAGAAAGAACAAATCTAGACACTGTGAAGAAGAAAATGGATGTTGGTGCTTCGTCAAAGAGTTAAATGGAAAGAACGCGAAAAATTGAGACACTGCCAGATAATTAAAAAAAAATGTCACTTATATTAGCAACTATTATTTTTATTATTATTATTATTATTATTATTTTCTTTGATTTCTGGCGTTTACACATATTTTTCCGGGTCCCGCCCAGGTACCTAAGGTTAGAAATGACATCATGACACTTTCCACTGACAAAAAAAAAAAAAAAATTACATAGATAAAACCCTTCGTAAAGTGTGGGCTGTACTTGTCAGAACAATTTTTGTATCTCCTTGAGGCATGGACTTCCGGGAATCCCTTCAATTAAACTACTACAATCTTTTCCAACCAGTCCTAGGGCTCCAACTACAAAAGGGATTGTTGATGTTCCCATATGCCACATTTTCGAGATTTCTATTTCAAGGTAAGATAAAAGTATTTTGTATTTCATGGTAAGATAAAAGTATTTTGACAGCTTTTTGAATATCTTCAAAGATACATTGCAGTCAGCAGGGACTGCCATATCAATAAGGAGGCACTTTTTTTGTTTGTGGTCTTTAATAACAATATCTGGGCGGTTGGCTTTGATTGTTCTGTCAGTGTGTATTGTGTAGTCCCATTGAATTGTAACAGGTCCTATCTCCGTTACCGGGTCTGGGTGGTGTTCATACTATTTTCTTTCAGTTTTCTTCAGGTAAAAGTTGCAGATTTTCCAGTGCAGATATTGGCCCACTCTGTCATGCCGGGTTTTATATTTAGTGGGTGCCAATATCGTGCAACCTGATACAAGATGACCAATCGTTTCTGGATATTTATCACAGAATCTGCATTTTGGGCTGACACAATATTTTAGTATATGTGCTTGATAATTACTAGTTAGCAAGCATTGGTCATGTGCAGCAAGGGTAAAACATTCAGTTTCAGCTTTCAACCATGCACTACGTAGCCACTGATAGGTACGGGTTTTGTCTACGTCAGCTTGTTTGGTACGGGCAGAGTATTGGCCATGAAGCGGTTTATCTTGCCATCGCTTCTGTATCTTGCATTCGACTTTGTTTTCTTTTTTAAGTATTTTGCAGTTTCAGCCGGTGTATTGTGCTGTACTTGCATCTCTACGCCCATTTGAAACTCCATTTTGAATTTTTTGGCTTCTTTTATTGCGCATACCATCATCCAGTCTTCTGTAGTTTCCAAGTATCTTTGGAGGCCAATTGTTGTAGTTTTGTAGGACAGTTCTAGTTGAACTAATCCTCTGCCTCCTTCGGATCTGGGCATATACAGACGATCAACATCAGCTTTGGGATGATGCATGCGGTAGCAAGTGAGAAGCTTTCTCGTTTTGGCGTCCATTCGCTTAATTTCAGTTATGGTTCAGTTAAGGACATTAAAAGTGCATTGCACCACAGGGACAGCCAATGTTTTTATGGCTGATATTCTGTTTTTTGAGTTTAGCTCAGTATTTAGTACCAGACTTACATGCCTGTAGTACTCTTTTCTTATTTTTTCCTTCATTTGGGGGTGTTTTATGCCATCTCCTTCGCTAATTCCTAGGTACTTATAAGCTTCATCATGCTCCAGTTCCTTAATCTTTGTGACAAAATCTAAATCTATTAAGGTTGTTTCTGTAATTCTACCTTTCTTGAATGTTACTTTTGCACATTTTATTATTATTATTATTATTATTATTATTAATGGTACAATAGGAAGTGTCCCCTTGGGAAGAATTGGAAATGCGTGGAAAAATCGAATCTGTCAGAAAACAGCATAGCTAAAATTTACTAGTTAACTAAGGACATTGTTGGATTATAGCTGCAACATTATGTCATCTTTAGATAAAACTACCAATTAAGACTAGTGAATAAATTTAACGAGTACAAAATAAAAACCACCTTAATGTAGTATGGTTATAGTCATTATAGTATAGCTTCTGCCCTTTCCTTTGCTATTAATAATAATAATAATAATAATAATAATAAATAATAATAAATAATAATAATAATAAATAGTTGGCCTTATGCTATCGTCAGCTCAACTCATGCAGTAAATCTTTACCACTAATAATAATACAGTGGAGGTGGGGAGGAATATTATCAGATAAGATTGCAAAAACCAAAAAGCAAACAAAAACCTGTTGCTTGGTGAAATTTTGAGAAGTAGGTTGGGCTTTTCAAACCCGGTTTTCATAATAACTTATTTATTACTAGATTGTATCTCTAATATTATATTGTATATTTAACGCTGACATTGGTAATTATTTATTGTTTTAGTTTCGCCATGGAAGGTGTAAGAAGACATTTCTCCTCTAGTGGCCGAAGGAGAAGATTTGAGAAATAGTATTAGAATGAATTTTTACTGAAACTCCTTATCCTCTCAAAAGTCATTTGAGGGGATAAGGTTTTTTTTTTTGTTGTTGTTGTTGTTTTTTGGGGTTTTTTTTTTCAAAATAACCTGGAAAATGATCACCGGTTTTTCTTGAAAAGATTATTAGGAAAATATATTTCACTATAATTTGTTTTCTGGAGTCTGTTTTACCCACTTATGGTAGTTGATGACACGGGTAGTAAACACCCAAGGCTCTTTACCGAGAGTTAAAATCTTTGGTTGGCGATAGTCTTCCATTTTTGACCCGTAACCTGCTTAGTGCTTGGGAACTCTTCTCCCCCCCCCCTCCCGCGGCTATGGGTAAATAGACTGGGTTCTATAGCCTTGGGTAGCAACCGTCTAGGAGAAGGATAACTCTGAATTCAAAACTATATGTACCCCTGGCGAAGCACATACTATGTAGTTAAGGAAAGGATCGTTCACATTGACTCGATGATCTCGACTAGGGTCAACTCCTTTTTAAGGAAGTCGTAACAAAGCTGAGACAACGCGAAAAGTATGCATACATGGCATCAGTGAATGGTACACGCTTCGGCACCATAACGAATGGTAGTCAGTATGACATATTTGTAAACAGTTTACTTTGCCTAAGTCTTAGATAAGATACTGCAATAATATTATTATGAAGCAAACATTTAGAAATGAAAAATCAAAATACTTTGCCATCTTAAGATCACGATATCCATGGGAGAAGACATATTTCATTGATATTGTCGTTTTAAAAGAAGGATCAAACGGTATTTGGTACAATGGATATAAAAATCAGTCTTGAAAATCATTGCACCAAAAGTAAGTTCAATCTCAACTGTGTGATTCATGCTTGCAACCAGATTAAACTATTCTGGTGATTTTAAATAGTTACAAATTTCCTATCAGTGTATGTGTTCGGTGTTCGATTTCAGGTAAAAGGCGGAATTTCGAATGCTGATTTTCTCGAAATATATCTGCGACTCCAGGTTAGCATAGCATGCTTTCTACTCGCATTTCATTTTATTTGGCTTAATATCAAAAATAATTATTTTATGTTTAACTCTTGGCTAAGTTTGAAAGGTATATTCCAACAGTAATAGAAGTCGGTGTTCGATCCTAACTAAAAGCCAAGATTTCCAATACTGTTTTTCAAGGAAATCGCGCCTCAAACGTAGAAGACTGCAGTAAAACAATCTTCTTACCATTGATTCTCTTTTGGTTATGACGATAGTTAATTGATGACGACTATGATGATGATGATGGAGGTGGTAAAATGGCAATAATGATCATGGAAATGACCTCGTGGTTCTTAAAATCACGGCGTAACTTCCATTAGTTGATGTGTGAAGTTCTTTAAAGTGTTGTTAATCGGGATAAAGTTGATGTCAACACAAATGTAGATAATGAATTACGATTGTTGTCATTGTAAAAATGACGATGATGATGTTGGAGGCTGCTCTAATAATCATGACGATGATCGTTAGACCCACAATAGTAATTGGGATGATGATGATGATGATGATGATGATGATGATGATGATGATGATGGGATACATTTGCTGATTCTCTCAGGTCGTTCTTGTTGGTTCGTTGACACAGTTTTTGTGATGACGGGGTGGGGTGTTTTAGAAAACAACCAGCCGGTGACATATTTGAGGAAAAGCAAGCCTGAGTCATCGACGTCACACTACTGGGAAATAGAAAAAAACACGAAGAAACAGAGGCACTATCAGAAGATGCAATGGCGGAACGTTTGGAGCGAAAGGTGAGAAGAGCAGCAAATGGATGAAAAAAAAAAGAGAAAGAGTCAAAGGAGACTCATTGAAAGAGACAGAAGAGAGAGTTGAGGAAAAAATAGAAACGAAAAAGAAAATAGAAGAGAATAAAAGAAAATGAGCAAGACATAAGAAAGGAAAAAAATAAGAAGGGGGAGAAAGAAATCCTCGAGAATAACTAGAACAAATGGATGAAAAAAATAATAAAGGTTGCAGAAAGAAAGAAAGAACTGAAATGAAACAACAAAAGAAAAGAAGAGGAAAAGAGAAAAATATCAGAAAATGGTGAGGAGCAGACGACTTTAGATGCAAAACAAGAAACAAAAAAAACAACAGTAAGACGATGAGAAGCAAGAAAATGGTGACAGCAACGACTGATAAAGTGAAGTGAACATTACATCGTGGAAGAAAAAGTAGGTGTACCGAAAAAAAAAAAAAAAGAGAAAAGAACCGGGGATGTCTGATTGATATTAAGGAAAAAGAAGAAAAATGACAGACGTTGACACTGATTGAAATGAGAGATACCCGCCGGGTGGATTCAGTCCAGTGGGATCCACCTACAATACATGCGCAAAAAATATCACGAAGCAAATCACAAAACAAACAACAAAATAAATGCATCCGTGATGGCAAACATCCAGCCACCGACATACACTAATAAACAAACACACATACGCGCACACACATCTATATACGCATATGCACAGATACACACACATGCACACACGCATAAACATTAATGGACTTTCTCACCCAGTGTAATGAGAAATGGTACATATAAAAGGAACTCCTGAAACATTTTCGACCCGATCAAGAAGCCCTTCCTCCACCCCACTAAACAAATCTGATATTTCTTCGTTTAGCCATATTTCATTAGGTCAGGCCGAAAACTTTTCAGCGCACTTTCATAACCATACACTTATACTTACACACATACATTCATGCCATACACTTATACTCAGGTACACACACATATATACGTAGATACATTTAACCACACAAAACTGAGTGAGCATTTTATTTTCCGATCACTGTCACACCACCTCGTACCTCAGTCTATATAAAGGTTTGTTGTATTCATTCGAATGTGGGGTGTTCGATCCCTGCAAGAGATGATTTGATATTATATGATTTGATATTATATGAAATTAAGCTAAACTTAGTAGAACTAAATCAGTTAAACATATGTCAAACCATGATTATTATTGTTCATGATTGGCAAGAGATTTTTGAGATGCCATTTTCATGAAAGGTTAACTGTAGACATAGGCATTTATAATTATGCATAAATGCTAAACATTTGAACAGAACAAATTTTAATTTAATATTTATTTTATGCCTGGAAGAGTGTTCAAGAGTCTGACTCAGCATTCGGAACAGAATCTGAGTCGTGATGGCCTTCGGTTTTCTGTTGCATCTTGGCACGACCCCTTTAAGCATTCGGTGAATGTCAATACACCACTATCTTGAAATTTTACTGACGTGAACTCATTTTCGTCCAGTCAATTTGAAAAAGTATTGACAGTAAAACACAGAAATAACGAGAGTCATTTATCATTAAAAGAAGAAAGGAATACTCAGAGTCATTACGTCATAAGTTTCTTTCGTGACTCAATAAAAATAGCGAAAGGATAGATAGATATCAATAGACTGAGATAGATAGATAGATAGATAGATAGATAGATAGATAGATAGATAGATAGATAGATAGATATTTTCTTCTATTTACGCGCATCATTGTTAAAGAATTAATGGCTTTTTTAACCCAACATTATTTCTTCTTTTTATAAGCCTTATATTTAGCAAGTACACGTGTACGCGTAAGCATCTCTGTTTTATCATCTTTTTGTTTTCGTTTTTTAAAGTGAAATTAATATCTACCGGCCAAGTGATTAACAAGAAAATATGCTTCCCAACAGGAATCTAACCTGTATACACTTTTTAACGTGGGGGAACCATTTTCGTTTCACTTGAAAGTAGTTCCCCAGATTAAAAGAGAATCTACAAAGATTCAAGATTCTAGATTTAATCTCCCGTTATTATATCTCCCAGTACCTTTAGCCCTTTTTTCTTTATCAATGGCTAAACTTGTTTTCTTTAGGATCATTTGCTCTCTCTGGCATCTTCGTGTTAGTTGTTTAAGTCTGAATTTTATCATCACATGTTCGAATAATTTCACGCGTATATATATATATATATATATATATATATATATATATATATAAAAGTGAACATAAGTCAACATATGCAATCGTCAGGCCACCATGTTTGTATACATGTATGTATACGGTGGCCACGATTGCATATAGCATGAAACAGACTGTCGCCTCTAAGTGTTGACTTCTATGTTCACTTTATATTTACACACGCCTCTATCTCTGATATTGAGCACTTTTTATCCCATAAATATAGCACACCTTAAGACTATATTTTATTTATATATATATATATATATATATATATATATATATATATATATATATATATATTATTTTGATAGATGTGAGTTTGTGACCCTAGGTTTCACGCTTTAGCGATCGTCAGACAAACTGATTAATGTTTTAAAAAATTTGGGTATATGTAGATTGCGTGTATTGGTGTTATTGTGGAAGTGGTGGGGGAAATTTCGTCGTTTTGTCATTCATCGTACTAACGCAAACATCGATATATGCAGACACATATACATACTTGGTCGTCCGTCGGGACTCATACATATATAAACATATGTGGGCAGTTTCGGCTATGACACATGTATGTATACGGGTGGTGTTATGTCTATACATACGCATTTGTATGTTGAAATGTTGAAATTGAAACATTGGAAGTGTGGCGGAAATGTCTCGTTAATGTCTCGTGAATGTATCCATGTCATATTATGTATATATTTTTTTTTTCTTCGCTGAAAAATATTTCCTCGCATGTATGTATGTACGTGTGGTGGGGGTTTGTAAAATTATGATAGGTAAAAATTATTATTATTATTATTTATATTTATTTTTAAATTTAAAAAAAAAATGGGGGTTTATTTGTTATATTTAAAGCTGGTTATTTGTTTGTTTTTGGTGACTAACAGGTAAAAATTTGTAATCCTTATTGTTTAATTTATATGGTGATGTTTAATATCCTGGGTGAGAGGGTGGTTCAATTTAATAACGGGTCTATATGATATGATGTGATAGTAATGTTTCAAGGGATTGGAGACAATGCTATTTAGCTAATAGTTATTGTAAATTGGAAGAAATTGCAAATTGGTAGATATGATTAGTAACGGTGGTGGGAGAATGATAAAACCATGAATGTAGTTATAGTGGTGGTAGCTTGAACTAAAAAAGGTTGTTGGTGTTTTATTTTATTTTTGTTTTATTTTGTTATATGTATTAATTTATTTTGGTATAAATCCTGATAATAGGTATTCTGTGTAAAATTATGGTAGGTGAAGATTGCTATAATTTTTAATTACAAAATTATTATTGTTATTATATTAAAGCTGCCTGGTAATAGGTGTTTGTTCTCATGGTTACATATGGAAATTATATCTGATCATATTGTTTTAAGGTATTAAATATGCTGGGGGAGTAATAAAGATTGTAGTGGATTATATGTTAATAGTGGGTGTGATGTGTAAGTGATGGTTCTGTGTGTCGGTGGTAATGATAATATTGATAGTTAATAGATATTGTAAAGTGGTAAAAGTGATTACTAATGGTGGTGCAATTATAATAATGATAGGTGCAATTATTTTGATGGTATCTTGGAATTAAATTGTGATTGTTGGTGGTTTGTCTGTTTTATCCGTTTGGTATGAATTCGGATAATAGGTACTTGTTCTCATGCCTAAATTTGGAGATTATCTCTGATTTTTTGTTTAGCAAGTTCTTTTGCGGTTTGTGTGATATTATTGCTACTTTTTCGTGTAGGCAAGCTCATTGATTGAGCTGAAGCTTTTTCAACACCCTCTTGCAAGGTACAATAATTTTCAAATCAATGATTATATTTTTTAATGGAATTATTTTCTTATTGCATCTTAACTGTACGATTCAAACATTGATAAGATTTTGCATTACTAGAGAGCATGGTAAGAATTATGTTCCATCTCATTGGCTTAAAAATCTGCATAACTGGGGGCCAAGTTTCACTATTTTTCGGCTTTGATAAATAAATATTATGGTATTTATTCAGCTTACCGACGTCAGGAATAGAGTCACAAGATTGAGTTTCAAATTTTGGTGGGTTGAGATCACCGCAATTAATTTGGTAACCATGACTCTACAGTAACAACTTTTGTTTAATACGCTTATGCTTAGTCTAACACAAGTTCGAGAGAGACGAATTTTAAGTGATTATCGATATTACAATGACCTGCCAGATTATCGTGCTATAATTACAAGAATGTGTACAACGGTAATTTTTCCAATTCATATATATATATATATATATATATATATATATATATATATATTCAAGCAGTTTTGGTAAAAAATTTAGACATATTATGGGCGATTTATTTTGGTTGTGATCCTTTCAAATTCACGGATTAATTTCTTGGTAGTCAGAATGCAGTAAAACGAACAGTTAAAATGTTTTGAATTTACAGAAATACATATACCCATACACAGACAATTTACCCCCCCTGAAGGTGGTCTCAGATTGAAAGTACTTGGAAAAAAAGAAAATTATTCAAAAGAAAATTTTGTTATTTTTCTTAATCAATTTTATAAGGCTACCAAAAAATTAATTGAACTTGAAAGGATCACAACCAAAATAAATCGACATGATATGTCTAAATTATTTAACCAAACCTGTTTGAAAGAAAATAAGTTGCATATATATATATATATATATATATATATATATATATATATATATATATATTATTTTTATTTATTAATCCAACATATTTTTATCACTTTAAACTCTATTTTTAGTAAATACTCATATTTGATTAAACACTCAGTTTATTTTAAACAGTATTATATTTCGTCTACTTGCCTGAGTACTCGTGAATTTTAATAAAGGAAACATCCGTATCCTGCTGTAGAGCGCAATTTTCCTTAATAAGATTTCATACAACAATCAAGTTACTATAACAATCATCATATGTGATGCAATATATATATATATATATATATATATATATACCCACTAACGAAGGACGGACTAATTGCTGAATATCGGGTGGGTATAAATGCCCCAATAGTAAATATAGAAAGCATAATAATGATAGACTGAAAAAAATAGAAATAGAAAATTCATTTGGTACACACCCCCATTTAACCAAATGATTAGCACTGTTAAAGCAGAAGTTTCTCGCTTTGATTGAGAAATATTTCACAAATAATAATCCTCTAAGCAAGATTTTCAGCAAAAATACGCTTAAATTAAGTTACAGTTGTACTGATAATCTAGAAAAATGATTAAAAAACATAATAAAATTTTAAATAAACACTTAAACCCCAGCAACAATAGTAATTCCAAAGCAGAAATCATTAATATTTATAATAAATTATGTCATTGTAGAAATCCCATAAATTGTCCTTTGGAAAATAGAATCAATTGTTTACCAATGCACCATTTCATCTACTGAAAACCCGACTGTTAAGAAATTTTATATTGGTATCACA